ATAGAGACACCGCGCGATAGAATCGCACTCGCTGGACAAATGAAATCTGGATTTAATTGTGTGGCGGCGCGGGTTCAAGAATCAACGGCCCAACAAATTGAATCTAGATTTAATTGTTTTTTAAATCTTGATTCCATTGCTTACCTCGGGGGCCCTACGTATACCCGCACCCGCACCCTTGGCTGTATCGGGGGCCTCACCGCTGCTCTCTCGGTTCTGCTGGCTTCGACTTGCCAGAGCTCTGAGCCGATCCCCGACGGCCCCAGTCCGCCCCTGGAGCGCTCCCCGACGGCCACCGGACCCCCACATCGCTCCAAGACGGCCCCAAAGACGCCCAAGAGAGCCGAAGCCGATCCGGCCAGAGCCCCACGACGGCCTCGAAATGCCCCAGAGACGTGCCTCGAGAGCCCCGTGGACCGCGCCAAAAGGCACCAATTACTGTTTTCCGAAGGTTTAGGAGGATTCTTGATCCTCCCGCCATTTCGGGACGCGAACGGCCCTTCACGGCCCCAGACCCCAGACGGCCCAAGAAGGCCCGTAGACGGCCCATGAGGGCTCCAAGACGGCCCAAAAGAGCTTCAATTGACCCCCAAGTCAGCCCCAACCGGGCCCCAGATCCCGCCCGAGCGGGCCCAAAGCGACCTCCAAGACGGTCCGAGACCCCCAAGATGGCCCCAATGCGCCCCAAGAAGAGCCGCAGATGCTGCCCAAGAGGGCCGAAAACGACCGAGACGGCCCGAGACCCCCAAGGCCCAAGACCTCCCTGCGCGGCCCCCAACTGAGGCCCGCAAACGTGTTCCCCTGATTCTGACTATGCCTGAAAAAAACGACGTGTTTTTGCTAATCGCCCCCAGGCCCGGCGCGATTAGCAAAAACCCAGTCTTTTTCACGCTTCCAGGTCAGTGCCCCTGGAGCTCCCCCGACTGCTTTCCGGGGTGGCCCCCAGACGTGGCCCCGTAAACGTCGGCCCCACACGTGGCCACCAAACGGGACCCCCAAAGGCGGCCCCCACATAAAGCCTCCGAAGGTCGCCCCTCCCGCCCCAGTAAGCGTGGCCCCCGAACGTCGCCCCCACGAGTAGCCCCCAGGCGCCCCCAAACCTGGCCCCCACACATAGCCCTCAAACGTGACCACACATCTGCCTCCGAAGGTCGCCCCTGCCGCCTGCCCCAGGGACGCCCGAGCTGTTCAACTTCGACGAGCTGGTCGCCTATGGCGTGCGAGTCCAAGGCTCAGCACGCCATGGATTTAATCCACGGGTTCACACTAGTCAGCTATAACGCTGGGATCAGCGCGTGCGCGAAGGGCGAGCAATGGCAGCGGGCCCTGGCGCTGCTGAGCGACATGAGGGAGGCGAAGCTGGAGCCCAATGCCATCAGCTACATTACTGAGATCAGTGCGTGCGCGAAGGGCGAGCAGTGGCAGCGGGCTCTGGCGCTGCTGAGCGAGATGTGGGAGGCGAAGCTGGAGCCCGATGCCATCAGCTACAGTGCTGGGATCAGCGCGTGCGCGAAGGGCGAGCAGTGGCAGCGGGCCCTGGCGTTGCTGATCGAGATGTGGGAGGCGAAGCTGGAGCCCAATGCCATCAGCTATAACTTTGGGATCAGCGCGTGCGAGAAGGGCGAGCAGTGGCAGCGGGCCCTGGCGCTGCTGCGCGAGATGTGGGAGGCGAAGCTGGAGCCCAATGTCATCCCTCCTAACATCCCGCCGCCGCTCCCCCCCGCCGCCGCTCCCCCCCGCCGCCGCTCCCCCCAACCGCCGCCTCCCCCCGCCGCCGCTCCCCCCCCGCCGCCGCTCCCCCCCGCCGCCGCTCCCCCCCGCCGCCGCGTTCACCGCTCGCCAAAGGGTCGAGCAGTGGCAGTTTTGACTGGCCCCCTCCGGCGGCCGCCAGCGCGGCCCAGGGACCCCGGCGCGCTTCCAAGATGGCTTCAGGGCGCTCCGGAGCCGCCCACGGAGGGTGGGCTCCAGGAAGAGCGCCAGGAGAGCCCGAGCCAGGAAAAAGTGGGCCCAATCCTCGGGGACAACGTGCATTTCGAGAGTCCTTCGAAGCGTCCAAGGCGGCCACAGAGGCCCTCAAGATCGTCCCAAGACGCCTCAGGAGGCCGAGGGCCCCAAGACGGCTGCAGACTGCGCCAGGACGGCTCCTCAGACGCCCATGGCGGCCTTAAGAGGGGGCCAGGACAAGGTGGGAGCGCTCCCGAGGGGCCCCAAGAGGGGGCCAGGAGGGCCCCGACAAGGCCCCATGACGCATGTACTTGGGTGCCCCTCTCGCAAGCCCAAGAATCATATCAAGTACATGCGATTTGGGGCCCTCTTGGGGCCCCCTGGGGGCGCTCTTGCGGCCCTCTTGAGGCCTTCGGGCTCCTCGAAGACAGGGCCGGGCGCATTCTGCCACAGAAAGGCCTTTCGTGGCAGAATGGTGGGCCCGCGCGCGGCGGCGGCCTGGGGCCCTGTTGGAGCCCTCTGGGGGCCCTTCTCGTGCCCTCTGGCGCGACGGCCCCAAGACGGTCCCGACACTGCCCCAGCGCTCAAGACGGCCATAAAAGGCCGCGCGTTCCGCGGCACGGCCGGAGGCACGGCTAGAAACGGCTCCGAGACGCTCCGGAGGCCGCCCCGACGGCCCTAAGACGGCTCCGAGCCGCTCAAGATGCCCCGGAGGCGGCCCAAGAGGGCCCCGAGACGCGCAATGATCTGGCCAAGACACCCAAGATTGGCCCAAGACGGCCCAAGAGCTCCCCAAGACGGCCCAATAGGCCTCCCAAGAGCCTCCCAAGAGAGCCCCGAGAGGCCAAAATCGTTGATTTTCATTGTTTTTTTCCGAGGTTTTTTGCTTCCTCGCTTTTTCGGCTTCCCGACGCTCCGAACCCCCCCAGAGGCATCCAAGACCGCTTCAAGACGGTCGAAGAGGTCCCCAAGAGGACCCCAAGACGGTCCAAGAGGGCCCCAAGACGGTCCAAGGCGGCCCCAGGACGGCCCCAGAGGCGCCCAAGATGGCCCGAAGAGCGGCCCAAGATGGCTCCAAGACGGCCCGAGGACCGCCCAAGAAGGCCCTAGGGGGCCCCAAGACAGCCCAAGGGGCGCGATAGACGAGGCCCCAAGTGGCCGCCAAGAATCCCCGGAAGAGGCCCCAGGAGGCTCCCAAGGAGCCCAAACGAGGCCCCAACAGAGGCCCCAACAGCTTCCAAAATTGCCCCAAAGAGGCCTCGAGCCCGCCTCCGAGCTTCCTCGCCGCGAGGGTGCCAACACGGCCCCAGACGGGCCCAGGACGGCCCAAGGCGCGTTCAAGACGGCCCAAGACGATTCCAAGGCGGTCCCAGGAGGGTGCGTCCAGGACGGCCCAAGAACGCGCCTGGTCGGGGCCTCAAGACGGGCCAAGATGGCAAGAGAGCCCCAGCTGGCAAAGATCGTTAATTTTCCATTGTTTATTGTTACACCCTTTGCGTTTCCCGCCGTTTCGGCGGTCCGATGCACCAAGAGGCCCCAGAAAGTCCCAGGAGGGTCCGGGGAAACGCCCAGGAAGGCCCCAAGACGGGCCAAGACGGACCCAGCACAACCCAAGGCGCGCTGCGACGGCTCAAGACGGCTCCAAGACAGCCCCAAGAGGGTGCCAACACGGCCCCTGCTGGGCCCAGGACGGCCCAAGGAGGCGCACAGGAGGGGCCCAAGACGACTCCAAGGCGGCCCCCTCACGGTCCCAGACGGCTCCAAGACAGCCCCACGAGGACCCCGATGGGCCCAGGACGGCCTACGGACGCGCCCATGAGGGGCCCACGACGAACCAAGACGGCCCCATCACGGCAAACGGCGCCCTCAAGACGGGCCTGGACGGCTCCAAGACGGCCCTTTGAGGGAGCCAACGCGGCCCCACACCCTTCGGGCGCACACTTGGGGGGGCTGGGAGCTTGCGACAAGTCTCCCACATTCATTGTCCTGCCCCATTCTGTTCGCCTGGAGGCCTCCTCCAACCCTGTGGGCGAACAAGAGGAAACCCAGCGGGCCGCCAACCCTGGGGCCCGTGGGCCCCGCGCCGCTTGGGCAGAAGACGAACGCCGGATCTGACAGGCCAGCTACCGCCCCCGTTTGCCCGATATGCTGTGCCATTCTGTTCCCCCAGGGGCCTTGGCAAACTCTTCGGGCCAAGCAGACCGGACCCCTGGAACAGCAGCCAATTGATATGACCCTGGGACCTCTCCGCATTCTTCGGACGAGCACCTGGGAGGCCCAGGAGATTCGGACAAGTCTTCCCCATTCCTTGCCCTGTCCCGTTCTGTTCGCCCGAAGGCCTCCACAGACCCTCTGGGCGAACAGAATGGGACATGGCGAACAAACCCTCCCGTTGGCGGTGATTCGACTGGATCACACCATCAAGGCGCGCCCGGAGGTGATGGCCGACCCAACAGCGGTTTCTCTAAAGATCTTAGAGAATTTCAAATTTTCTTGAAGCTCTGTTGGGCCCTCCCTGTAGATCCTTGCGAGCCTCCCTGGCGCTGTCGGTGGTTTTCCCCGATGGCCTCCCGAGCCCTTCCCCGAGCGCTCCTGAGACGCCTCAGATGGGCTTCGACTTCGACGCACATCCCCGAGAGACTTCGAAATTGTCCTCAATAGGAGGGGGATGAACGAGCAGTGCACTGGGCCAAGCTGCTGGAGCGCTGCAAGAGCTCGGACACGAAGGCGCGGTCTCGCTGCCGCCGCCCGAGCCGCCGCCGTGTTTGTAGATTTTTGTACAATCTGCGCCGTTCCTCCGAGAACCATTCCAGAAAGATGTCGTGGACGGAGTCCACGGGTCAGCCCTAGTCGGCTACGGCGCTGGGATCAGCGCGTGCGAGAAGGTCAAGCAGTGGCAGCGGGCGCTGACGCTGCTGAGCGAGATGCGGAAGGCGAAGCTGGAGCCCAACGTCATCAGCCACAACGCTTGGATCAGCTCGTGCGAGAAGGGCGAGCAGTGGCAGCGGGCGCTGGCACTGCTGAGAGAGATGCGGGAGGCGAAGCTGGAACCCGACGTCATCTCTCCTACATGGCGGGAGGAAGCGCGTGCCAAACCTGAGGGGACTCATGTGCATAAACTCGCCCCTTTACGGCCTCACCACGTGGTCGATTCGCCCATGAGTGCCCAACAGGGGCCCAAGAGCGGCTGCAAGACGGTCCGCGAGCGCTCCAAGGCGGCCTCAGTTGGTGCCGAGACGGTCCTTGACGCTCCAAAGACCTCCGAAGGTGGCTGCAAGACCGCCCAAGAGGTCCCCAAGACGTTCCGAGAGGGCCCCGAGAAGATGCCAAAGAGGCAAACATCGTCACATTCCTGTTGGAAAACGTACATGTTCAGCATATCCGCCTTCTGCGTTGTTACACGGTCCAGGACCGGCCAAGAGGCCCCCCAAACCCCCCCAAGACGACCCACGCCGCCCCCAAGAAGGCCCCAAGACGGTCCAAGAGGGCCCAAAAACGGCCCAAGGGGGCCCTCAAACGGTTTGAGAGGGCCCCAAGATGGCTCCAAGAGGGCCCGAAGAGGCTCCCAAGAAAGGCCTCCAAGACGCCCCAAAGACCTCAGAAGGTGGCTCCAAGACGGTCCAAGAGGCCCAAAAAGGCAACAAGTGACGCATTCCGATGGGAAAACGTACATGTTCAGCATATCCGCCTCTTGCGTTGCTACAAAGTCCAGGACAGACCAAGAGGCCTCCCAAAAACCTCCGAGACGACCCAAGCGGCTCCCAAGAGAGCCCCAAGACTGTGCAAGAGGGCCCAAAGACCGCCCGAGGGGGCCCTCAAACGGCTTGAGAGGGCCATGGAGATCCCAAGATGGCTCCAAGAGGGCCCGGCTCCCAAGAGGGCCCCAGGAAGCCCTCCAGAGAGCCCCAAGACGGTCCAAGACCTGCAAGGCGCCCCAAAGACTTCAGAAGGTGGTTCCGAGAGGGCCCCAAGAGGACGCCAAAGAGGCAAAAATCGTTTCATTCCTATTGGAAAACGTACATGTTCAGCATATCCTTTTTGGGGGGGCGTTTTTTCACAGTCCAGGACAGACCAAGAGGCCCCCCAAAAAAAACAAGACGACCCAAGCCGCCCCCAAGAGGGCCCCAAGACGGTCCAAGAGGGCCCAAAGACGGCCCAAGGGGGTCCTCAAGCGGCCTGAGAGAGCCCCAAGACGGCTCCAAGAGGGCTCCAAGAGGGCCCGACGAGGCTCCCAAGAGGGCCCCAGGAAGCCCTCCAGAGAGCTCCAAGACGGTCCAAGGCCTCCAAGACGCCCCTTGACGGCCCAAACGGGCCCAAATATGTCCCAAAACAGCAACGGAACGGTCCAAAAGGGCCCCTGAAGGGCCCCAAAAAGTCCCCCACAAGGACCACTGAGAAGGCGCACAGACGTCATATAAAAGAGCGATGGGTACAGTAAAAAGTTGTTCAATTCAAGGCTCCCAAGAGCGAACAGAACAGAGTAAGCTCTTCAACCCGAGGCTCCCGAGAGCGAGCCGCAACGTCAAAAACTTTGAAACTGGAGCCCGAAGCTATCATCATCCCCTCAATTCTGGGACACGTGCGTGGGCCAATCGCTTTCTCTGCCTCCAGCAGCGTCGGCACTGCCTCCGGGTCCCTGTGGGCTCTGGGTCCCCAGGACGTCGCAGAGACAGCTTTCGGTATTATCCGAGATGGCAAGGATTAACCCCGACAGCCGCCAGACAGGGCCCCCGACAGATCTCAAGCGGTTCCAATAGACTTCCAAAAGGCCCCTAGACGCCCCAAGAGGCCTTGCAGGAATTGTCCACCAGACCACGGCAACTGCAAAGCTTGCCAACACCCAAAGGAAGATGTATGTCTTTTGCTTCGCAGGCTTGTCGACGCGAGACAGCTCCAAGACGGCTTCGGGGAAGACTCTTGGGCTCCTTGCGGGCCACCTGGAGCCCTCTTGGGACCCCCATCGAGCCTCCTGGGTTGTTTTCGGGGCCTCCTTGGGCCGTCTCGGTCCGTCTTTGGGTCGTCTTTGGGCCCTCTGGGCGGTCTTTGACTGCCTGAAAAGAGCCCAAGGGCGGCCCCAGAGGGCTCCCAGACTATTAAAGAAGGCTTCGGAGAGCTTCCAGACGGCCCGACACGCCCTCCATAGAGCGCCACGACGGCCCAACAGACCCCCGAGACGGCCCAGGACGGCCCCAAGAGAGCCCAACGAGGCCCCCAATAGTTTCGGCCATAGGGCCCCCCAGCACGGCCTCCATATCGGGCAGCACACACGCCAGCAGCGGCAGCAACTAGTAGCTAGTAGCAGAAAATAAGCAGCCGCTGCATTGCCCGCCGCCGGCTGGCGGCCATCCCCGCTGCCGTGGCGTGCGGCAGAGGGTCAGTTGCGACCGCCAGGCCTGCCAGCATGCTGGCAGTGACGTCGGGAAGACAACTGTCTGGCTACCAGCTATGCGCGCAAAACAGCAGGCAATCGATCTCAGCTTCTGCACGGTGGACCGCACAGGCTGGCAAGCCGTTGCCATCGGCTGCAAAAACCAGAGTCGTCCGCGTGGCATGCTTCAAGACGCTGCTCTCCGAGAAGGACTGGCAGGGACGTGCCCGGAACATCAAGCAGGCCACGAAGACCTGGCTCGCCCAGCTCCGCGTGCCAGCGGGTGAGATCGTCGACATCTTCGGCCCCAGGAAATCCGAAGACGGCGCCATCCTGAGCGTGAACGTCCGGGTCACCGAGCCGCACGGCGAGCTGATTGACAAGGCCAGTGGCGTCGGCGGCTTCTTAGCCCGCCTTCTACCAGAGGACCCGAAGGCGATTCCAACCTTCGGCACTGTCCATTGGGTGAAGCGCTTCGACGACGAGTCTGGCGTTGCCCTCCTCAAGCGGGCGCGTGCAGAAGCTGAGGCTACGCCCTGCCTTGGCTTGGCAATTTCCAACACAGGATCTGTGGGCATTCGTCGCCCCGGCGGGCAGCAGGCTACGTCCTGGAAGGTCACCGGGCTGCCCAAGACACTGACCATCCCGAACTTCGCCGCGTGGCTCAAAGAGAACGGGTGGCCGGACATCGAGCTCTCCTCTGTCCGCCGTCGCGTCACGAACGGTGGCGCCACTTTCATATACCGGGGGGCCAACCCGGGCGGCGCGAACATGGCCACTACCATCGAGACCTCCGCAGACGGCAACAGCTTCTTCGTGGACTTTGAGCCGTACAGGCCCCAGACGAAGCTCCTTGGTGGTGCCGGAAGCCAAGCGACCTCGCCTTGCACCTGGTGCTGCGTCCATGGAGGAGCCGCCGAAAGAGGAGAAGCCCTCGATTCGCTCGGCCCCACGGTGCAGAGAGTGCCGACGGATGGGGCGTGCGCATTCCACAGTCTTGGGTATTGGTTTAAACGTGCTAATAAAGCTACGCACTCGGCCGTGGCATTGCGTGCCCAAACCATTGACCACCTCCAGAAGAAGGCTCAGCTTTTCGAACCTCTTTGGGATCGCCAGGATTCCCGTGGACACGCCTGCTCTTCGTGGAGGGCGTACATCGACCACATGCGCGGCGACGACAAGTGGGCCGGCGAGCGCGAGCTTCTGGCGGCGGCCGACAAATGGTCGCTCAAGATCGTCGTCGTGCGCCCCGGCCACTCCACAGTCATTGTCGGCACTGGTAGGTCAAACATTTGGCTATTGTACCGCAACCAGCATTACGAGCCGCTGGAGCCCAGCGCCGACCCAGCAAAATCTACCGCTAGACGATCACACTTGGGTGATGTTGCTGATCGTTACCGATTGACTCTCCAGCCGGCCTGCGCCTCCCGCGACTGGAAGTTCAAGGGTGGTGGTGGTTCTACTGCGTCTGCCGCCTCAGGTACTTTGGATTGTATGAGTATGTCTTCTGCGACTTTGCCACGCGGTCGGCGTCTGGGAGGGCGTCGGAGGGATTGCCATATTCTTCGCATTTTGCTGGAGGCCGTGGACGGGGGGGACGAGGAGGAAGAGGCTCATCGAGGTCAACCTTCCCTACTTTGCCCACGGGATCTTCTTCATCACATTCTGCCGGAGGCCGTGGGCGAGCAGGAGGAGGAGGAGGAGGTTGTGAAAGGCAACTCCTGCTAAAGCAATAGGGCCGCCAGAAACCCCAAAGTAGCTCCCAAAGTAGGTTTCGGAGTAGGAGTAGAAGTACCCCCCGAGCATATGAAGTAGGTTGCAAAGTACCTCCCAAAGTACCCCCCGACGCGCAAAAAGTAGGTTCCGACGGGGGGTGGCTCTATTACAAGTAGTTGACTCAATGTCTGATAATGTATACCACCTAGTTTGAAACAGGTTGACCTTCTTAATTGGTTTTCTCAAAACCCTTTGCCCCCCCTTGATTGTCCGCCACCGTTGTTGCCAGGGTGAAGTGTTCAGCAGGCATGGTGCGGGCGCGTGCACAGTGTTCAACTTTATAACGCAGTTCCACTGGGTGATGCGTGTAGTTTGATATGTTTTTGGGGTGCAAGGGCAGGCTGCTTGAGGCAAGGGGGGGTGCCCTCGTCGCCTCAATGCTACTCAAACAAGTTCGGTGATTCATTTGTTTGTTCGGGCCTGCCGTCGTCGGATGCGGCCCGAGACGCTGCGTTAGAGGATGCGGCTCGGAAAGCTGGAGTGTTGGATTTGTGGGCGCGGTTCGGAAAAATGGCGGGGTTGAAACCTTGTGGCTCGGAAAACTGGGACTCCCTGATGGCGTTGCCTGGATGTGCAGCCATTTTGGCTGAAGCCCCCCCCCGCCGAAATGGCGGGCGGCGAGGGGGGGCGGGCGGCCCTTGCCGCCGCCGAGGCGGCGGCGCCCGCCGCCGCGGCCGATGCGGCCTGGACGGCCGCGGCCGAGGCCGCCGCCGCGCCGCCAGCCTCCGCTGGCTGGGCCGCGCTGGAGGCGGCGCCTGGCGAGGCGGACGGCGCCGCCGAGGAGGATGCGCGCTGCTTCATACCCTCAATTTCTTTATCGTTTGTCTTCCTCCGTCTCCTTCCCCTCCCCCCCCTCCTTCTCCTTCGCTTCCCTCGCAAGGCTGTCGCGGCCAGCGGCGGGGCAGCTGCCGT